AAGCGAACTTGAGAAATATAGAAAACATGAGGGGTATTGTGCAATTTTTTAAGAAGTTCTAAGTACCTCAGAAAAGATAGATCTAGAGTTTTTTTTTGGGGAATTTCAGACCATAAGAGCAGTTTCCGTAGCTTTAGTCCAGACTTTTGGAGCAGTTTGAATATCTATAATCGTAAATTTAGAAAAATTCAGCACAGTTCCATGATATGCTGAAGAAAAAATCGAGAACCCTTAAGATGTTCCGTGAATTTCCGGGAAGTACTGAGTCCTTCAGAGAATTTATGAAAACTTCAGAAATATTTCAGAAACTTCACAGAAGTTCAGAGAATTTCAGAGAAATTTAAAGGTTTTTACGGGAATTCCATTTATTTCCGAGCAGCAGAACCGAGATCTTCAATAGAATTGAAAGTTTTAGGGAAGCTTCGAGAACATCAAGACAGATTATAGAATCAAAGGGTAGTTCAAACAATTTCAAGGAAATTGTAAAAACCTTAAAGAAGTTGCGAGACACTCAGGGAATTATGAATATATATCAAACAAATTGCCGGATTATTAAACAAATTAAAAGAACATCAGGTAACCACTGATAAGTTCAGGGAAAATTATTGACCGTTTATAATGGTTATAATAATAAGGGAAATTGTCGAAACTTCAAGGCAAATAATTGAATTTCAGTAAAGTTGCGGGTTCTTTAAAAAAATACTGAAAATTCAGGGCAGTCTAGCGAACCTTAAGGAAATTCAATAATCGTTTAGGCAGTTTAAATACCACCAGGAAAGTCTAGACTATTGAAGAAGTTTTAAATAAGTGTCGATAATTTAAATTCTACGGAGATTTCCATTGAAATATTCCTCAAAATTTTGGTGAAGCTATCCTCCGAATTCAATTTTCTTTTAGTTTTCCTTGGAATTATCCACAATAAGAAACTCTTTCGAAAGATTCTCCGAATATTCATTGAATTCATTTTAGATTTCCTTTTCAATCTCACTCCTTCCCTTGGAATTCTACTCACATTGAAAGTCTCCTAAGAATTAATTGGCATTTCTCCTCACAAATAACTTCTATTTCTTCTCATAATTTGTTTGGCAAACTCTCCTGAATTCATTTTCCGAATTCCTGTGAAGATGTCCTGGAGTTATTCTCAGATTTAATTGTAATTCTCCTTTAGTATTAAAAAAAATCCAAGGACTTATGCTCCGGATTCGTTTTCTCCCACAAACTTTATGAAATTAGGCTCAGAATGCCCTTGGAATTTTCCTCTGAAGCTCCTCAAAAATTCCTAAGAGTTTTCATTAAAATTTACTTTTAGATCACTTTTTAGTCACTATTTTTTCAACTATAAGTCACTATTTGGTCACTTATGTCATCAAAAATGGTCACTAAAATCACTATTTTTAACAGCAGTGATTGCAACCAGCCCTGACAGGGCTTGTAGCGAGTCACTTTTTAGTGACTTGGTCACTTTTTTCAAGCCAGTCACTAAAAAGTCTCTTTTTTTTAAGATCAAGTCACTAGAGTCAGTTTTTCTTGTAATCAGTCACTATTTTCAACTTTTTTAGTATGAATTTATGTCAAGATTGATCATTCTTCTTCCACTCCACATGTAGGATCTGATAGTCCAATCGATGTCTACATTTTATTCTAATTTTCGAACAATTCGAAGAAGTTTTGTGACGTTTAATCGTCTTTTTCTAACTACTTATTTTTATAAATAAAATTATCTGAGTTTCCCAGGTTTTCCCAGAACTTTAACGGATAAATACAAGGCTTATAATAAGAAAGCAATTTTTTAAATGCGTTAAAAATATGCCTTTTTTTGGTAGATCAAAAACAACAGCAATTTACCCAAACGTTTTTAAAACATGGCAATCAGTTTTAAAGAAACAGCTTTACAATGAAATCCATTGAATGTTGAAGTTTAAAACTAACATAATTTCTCACTTTAATAAAGTTAAAAAAAAAAACTTTGAGTAAGTCCAAGATCTAAAAAATATTCAACATCTTGAAGTTTCGTATTCCATGTACAAGTTCAAGATATTGAACATTTTCAAAGTGCCAGAATTAAGTGCCCATGCTCCCGTCCTACAAACTGCGGGAACATAAGGTATGTTAAAACGCTGAAAATATGGGGAACTTAATGGAAGCTTTAAAAACCTCAAACCGGATCTTTTAGCATTCGAAAATTTTCAGCAGCTGTTATGAATTACAGAGAACTTCACAGGTGTCAAGCGAACTTCAGAGACGTTGAAAAGTTAATTGAGGCATAAGTTCAGAAGTTTAGGACATTTTTAGGACAGTTCAACAAGCTTCATGAGAACAGAAAAAAAAAACTTAAGAGACGTTTTGAGAATTTCAGAAAAGAAAAGAAAACCTCAGAGCAGTTCCGTTAACATTAGAGAAGTCACATACATTTTAAAGAAGTTTCGAAAAGTTCAGCGTATTGTTAAACCTTTAGTGGAGATCCATGGTCGTTAGAAAAATTCAGGAAAATTTAGGAAGCCATATAAAGTTCAGGGAAGTTTAAGAATTTGATGAGAAATATTGTAAGCACCAGGTCAGTTTCTCAAACTACAAAAGAACTTCAAGGCAGTTTCATTAAATTCAGGAAAAATTTGGGAACTTTAAAGTAGTTTTGAAGACCTCAGAATAGTCCATTCCATATTCAACGGAGATTTTCATTGAAACTCCGAATGCAATTTTCTTTTAGTTTCCTCGGAATTACCTAGAAATTCTCCACAATACGAAACCCTTTGGAAAGATTCTTCGAATTTTCAGTGAATTCATTTCAGATTTCCTTTTGAATCTCACTCCTTCCCTTGGAATTCTACTCACGTTGAAAGTCTCCTATGAATTCATTGGCATTTCTCCTCACAAATTCCTTAGATTTCTACTCATAATTTGTTTGCAAACTCTCCTGAATTAATTTTTCAAATTCCTTTGAAGATGTTTTTTTGTTATTCTTAGATTTAATTGTAATCCTCGTTTTAGCATTTTCAAAAAATTCCATGTACTTATGCTCCGGATTCGTTTTCTCCAACAAACTTTATGAAATTATTTTCAGAATCCCCTTGGAATTTTCATCTGAAGTTCACAGGAGTTGTGCTCCTCAGAAATTTTTAAGAGTTTTCATAAAAATTTACTTTTAATTAAATTTAGAGTTTCTTGAAATGCTACTCAAAACTATCAGAAAATCGAAATTTCATCAGAACTACCTTGAAAGCAGATAGCATTTGATATTTTTCTGAAAGATTTTTTCCCAGAACTCCCTTGGAATGAGGTCCTTAGAAATTATAACAAAATTCCACGATCCTCTAAAACTGTGCATGGAATTTGACTCCATATCCTTGAACATTTCTTGAAGTATTAAAGCTTTCAAACCCAGAACTAGTTCAAATTTAAAATTTGTAGAAAATATGCATGTTCCAAAACCAAAAAAAAAAAGTAAGTGCTACTGAAGATTAATCCACGGTCTAAGTTCAAAGTGTTAATAAAAATATCGAGAAAATTTAAATGCTTGTATTTTAAAATTTATTATTTTTTTAAAAATATCCTTAGCAAGGAAATTATTCAATTATCTGAGACTTTCAGGTATTTTTTTAGGAAAAATAAAATATCCTAAGGATACCCGGTTTTCCAGGTTTTTGCAATAATAGTAGACACCCTGACTAATACCGTGGGTTTGACCATAAACTTTCTAAATAAACATTAAAATAACGACTACTTTTCTTCTCTTAGGTCACTTTTTAGTCACTATTTTTACAATTAAAAGTCAATATTAGGTCACTTATTTCTTCAACATGGTCACTAAAATAACTATTTTTGACAGCAGTGATTGCTACCAGCCCTGGTATAATGATCCTTTCTTCCCAACAGCGTTCGACTATTCGACCCTAAAAAATCCTTTGTACATTCTGGTGCTTGAAAATCATAAGAGGACTCTAGCCTAAAAAAGTTATTCAAATTGAAACTAAGTACATTGATGTGCAATATAACAGCAGCGCATGCCGATTTTCATACAAAATGATCAACTTTGCACCTGCCTAAAAGTGAGATACTAGGTAAAAAAAAAAATAGAATATACACCCAAACGGGGGATGTAAGATTCGTTTACAATTATGTGTGATTCATCATCAGAGGATGTTAGTGGAGACCGCATGAACCGAGGATGCGATGTACCTATCTGCGGTCCAATACAAGAAAATTGGAGACCGAAAAATGTAGAGTTTAGTGAGGTAAATTAGTTATGTCGAAAAAAATAGGAAACAGGCTGCCGACTGGACTCGAACCACGAACGTTGCGATTATCAGACCTGTGCTTTCTCCACTGCTCTCTCCATGCTTCTGAATATGGATAGCCTAAAAGCAAACATGAAGCGCTCATTCTCTCGCATACTCGACTTCGTATGCTTTTTCTGCTGGAGAGATTCGAGGCAAGTGTGTGCGTCGTTCTACAATGTTCTACAATGTGCGTCGTTCTACAAACTGAATTTTCAAAGATAGAAGCAAAATTTATTCAAATGGGTCAATTCTTGAAAACTGATATAAAAAAAATGTCGCTATTTGGTCACTATTTTTGACATTACAATCACTACTATTATATCACATACCCACTACCAGCCATGCTGTTTAGAGGATTTATTGGATTATCAGAGAGCATTTGTATACTCTAGATCCCCAATGAGTTAACTTTCAAGGCCTTACGGATTAGCCAAAGCAACCTTATGGGGCATCTCCAAGGGCCTATGTAGTAGACATACATATTGTGACAACTTCAGTAGACTTTCCTCGGAGTTCTGTGTAGTGTATACCTAGATGTTGTATGATGTAAATTTGAAAAACTTGGACCCAAGTCCTTACCACATCTAACCACACAAGCCCTGTGAGAAAATCAAGAGTGTGTTTTACGATCTGATTTGAGAACTAATTCATTACATAATTCTCCTAGCGCTAAGTAGCACCTTCAATGATCTAATCCCGTGAATTTCCTTCCCTCCTCCACAGAGAAAACTACCCGCGCGTTCTGGAGCACATCATCCACACGCAGCCGTACGTACTGAGCCGAGACTACAAGGAGATCCTCAGCACCCTAGACGTCGTATCCGCCGATTCAGGTTAGTGTTGTTCGAACTTTTGACATTTTCATTCAACCTCTCGAGTCGTTCGAACGCAAATCAATCAATCATGCAACGCCGCCGCTACTGTACCCGATCACCATCACCACCACCCCCGCCGCCACTGCGCCATTTGGCAGCCGATGCTGGCCATTGATCTGCGTGCGCCACCTAACCCCCCCAATCCGACTCCAACACCTCCAATCCAACTCTAATAATAGACCGCCGACGATTCGATTGCGGTTCTGATTAGCGCCAAACGGATTGACATTTAGCTCTGCACCGTCGTTGCTGCTTTGTAATTTCGTCGATCTTTCCGATTGACCACGGCGACGTCGTCGACGAAGACGACGACGACGCCGGGAAGAAACATTCATTGATGCCGCACGAATTTGCTACGCAGTTGTTCCACCACCCCAAGAGTAACAACAGCCACAGGTCAGCCAACACGGCAGCACCACCAGGAGGAAGAAGATCGCGATTCAAACAATAACAAACAACCGGTCCGTCATCGTCGTCGGTCGTCGTTTGCTGATTGGTGGTCTTGGTCGTCGCTGAAATTTGCAAAGGGAAAAAAACACCACGGCCGAATTTGCGAAACCGCTGCTGCTGGTCGTTGAACTCTGCGGCCATCGTCGTCGTCGTGAAAAGTTTCTTCGTTTTCTTGTTATTTTCACTCTCCCGATGGCGGTGCTGCGCTGCGTGCTTTGACCGTTTGTGTTGATCGCCGCAGCCCCTAGTTTGTGTGGATGTGCGATCGCACATTTTTGTTTACCTTTTTTTTCTCGCTTCGATCTTTTGAGGTCCAAGTTGAAGATTTAGAACGAACAAGCTCAACTAGCATCGCCGAACCGTTTGAACTTTTTGAAGTTAATGGAACGTTCGGCTGAGAACCACCACCCTACCTATAGCAAAAAAATACGACCATAAGGGGGGTAAATCGCGAAATCCGATCCCGCCGGTTGCTCACGGAATGTTCCGTTCTTTCTGCTGCTGACTGCTACTGATGGAAGAACGATTTCTCTCTCTCTCTCTGCTTGTTGTGTGTGAACAGGAACCGCCGAAAAGTAAGCATCAAGTACACACAAATGCTCTGACCGGTTGTGTTGACGTCATCATCATCATCATCATCGCCACCATAGCTGCTATTGCCCTGATGGTGGTGGCGCTGTGATTTATGGGGCAGTTTATATTTTGGCTATAGCGATTTCCGGTATACGACCCGTCCCGTCCCATCACGGTCGTCGTCATCGTCGTTATCGATGAGAATGAGTGACGACGACGACGACGGGTGGTGGTGGGGTGCGCGCTTTCGGGCGGCGCAAGTTCTTTTGTGAAATCCGACCCAAATGACTCGACCTCGAGAGCCGAAAAGAAGTGGTGTAGCTTTCTACTTGGTAGCATTCGCAGGCTGACTGGCTGGCTGACGTCCGCCTCGGGCGATATGATACATTTATAATTGAAGTCAATTAAGTGGGGGAGGGGGGAGGGACAGGGAGAGGGGTCTTACTCGATGTTCTTGGCTTTACTGGAGTTCACAGAGCACATTTAGGCCTGGTTCAGTGAAATAAGATTTCCTTTCCAGAGCACTTTGGCGCAAGTGGATCCCCGGGTTTCAAGGGTAGTTTGAAAGCGATTTTCGTTGTCGATCCCGGAGGAATTGCGGGTTGACTCTTCAAGACCGAAGTTCCATGAATTTGAGGTCGTTGAGTCATCAGGAAATGTGCTTAATGTAGTTCTTAATCTTTCGTTTATTGCGACCCACTAAAGGTTGAATATGAAATAATCTGGACACGAAAATCTTGTTGGGGTTTAAAAATGTGTTTATTTTTCATAGTTCAATGTAACAGCTATAGATCAATAGGTATTATGCTTATTGTAAGACCATTGTTTCAGTCTTCCTTCTTACCATAAGCCATTACTCGAATTTTTCTTCGTACACGGCCCATCATCCCATCAGCTCTGTTCCCACTTGTTTGACTGCCAAATTCCATTTCCACTTAAAACCCTTAAGGTCAATTGTAGTTCCACCCTTTTGCTTCAATATCTACTTCACAACTGACCAGTATGTTTAAATTGGCCGGATTAATCTCCTTGGGAATCACTGTGACGCCATTTTCGCTGTACCACTGCACAGTGGTCCAGAATGCAGATTTAGGTGGAATGATATGTTTTGAGCCTAAAATTGAAACTTTAGACTAAAAGTCTCTTCTACAAAGTTGTTCCTTATAGTCAGGCCCTCATTTTTATGACAATGAATTCTAGGGTGGTTCTTATTATCATTAAAATCAAAAATCTAACTTTTTTGTTTGAATAAATTGGTATACATTCTTCGGCAAAGTTATAGCTGAGCTAATTTCGAGCAACTTGTTGAAAACAACTTTTTTGTATCTTCTCAATTGGCCGATTGTATCTCTTAATACAAAAAAGTTGTTTTCAACAAAGTTGCTTGAAATTAGCTCAGCTATAACTTTGCCGAAGAATGTATACCTTAATTTATTCCAACAAAAAAGTTAGATTTTTGATTTTAATGATAATAAGAACCACCCTAGAATTCATTGTCATAAAAATGAGGGCCTAACTATAAGGAACAACTTTGTAGAAAAAGTTTTAGTCTAAAGTTTCAATTTCAGGCTCAAAACATATCATTCCACCTAAATCTGTATTCTGGACCACTGTGCACTGTTTGGTGGAATTTGAGTAGTGGCAGCTTGCCAAGTCCGGCCAGATTAGGAAATCTACCTCATGCTGCTCCATAAAAGGCAGTAGTCTCTTCCGTAGGCACTACACTTGGTAAATTTGTTGGTTCATGGTTCCAGAAGTAACGAAAGTTTCGCTTTTCAGCCCAAGGACAACAAGGAACTTTGTGGGGAATTTCGACTTATTTTTGATTTTACATTTTTCCGGGGCACTCTTTCGGTCAACCGAGGTAGAAAGTTTCTGTCCAGGAATTTGATCGAAAACTGATAGAAGCGGACAGACCGGGATTTTCGTTTCGAGTGTGCAGGATCGAATCGCCACGTGCTTGCTCCGCCTATGCCATGAACTTATCCTGACAACATGAGGCAAATTTACTCATCGCTAAGTTACTGCACTTTATGTGATTTATGAGTTGACTAAACTCAAATTTGGGTCGTTATCATTCGTCGTGTAGATTCTCTCTGGTATATCCATGATATTTTCATCTTCAGATTTTTCTCCAAAATAACTCTTGGAGTTCCTTCTAGAATTCTCTTACAATTCTTAAGCATTCTCTCCAGAAGTCGCTTAATTTTTTCTTCATGGTACTCTCTAATATTCGCTTGAGATTTTGCTTAGAATTCCTTTAGTATGCCCTACAGAATAATCATAAAATCCTCCGAAGAATTGCGTAAGAATTCTGTCCAGAATTCTCGTGTAGAATTCCTGAGAACACTCCTCAGTATTCCTTACGTAATCTTCCAAAATTAGCTAGAAATTCTAAACAAATGTTCCTTGGGTCGATTCCTGAAAATTAGCTACGACCTACCGTCAGCATTTCCTAAATTTTCTCTCAAAGCTCCCTTAGATGGTTCTTCGATATTCTGTTGAAACTTCATCGCAATTCCAACGTAATAAGAATTGATTAGATTGCTTTTTAATTCTTATCGGAACCCACTTGGGATTCTTGTGAGGATGACTGGTTTTTGTCACAAATATTGATACAATACCCCTTCCCCTCCCTCTCGCATCAGAATTTATTTTAAATTATCCACAGAATTATTCCAAAATTAATTCGTTGAAATTTTCCTCTAAATTCCGACGTAATTTTTCACTATATTTCGATAGAATTTTTTTCTAAATTCAATTGAAATTGGTCTCCAAACTGTTTTTGAATTCTCCTGGATTTCTCCCATGCAATTCTCCTCAAAAGTTCCCAATCATAACAACCTTGGAATTCTACTGGTATCAACTACTACTATTTCTAAGGAATTTTCCTTAATATGTATTCTCTAAGGAACCTCTTCTTGCACAAAAATAATATTATCTATGCCTAGAGCAGGTGAATCGGGAAAACCTGGAATATCGAAAAATAGGCCCGAAAAGTAGTTTTCGACTTCCCCTGGAAGTATCTCGAGACTTGTCGAAGCTTTATCCCAACATATACTGGAAGCATCTTCCGAGGTTCTTCTGACTTGCCCTGTAATTGTCTTCCAACTTCCAGAGAAGTTGCAGCCGACTTTTCTCGCAAGCCTCTTTCTATTTCCTGCGGAAGAATCTTAAAACTTCTGGGACAGTCCTCCAAATTCCCTAAATAGTCTTTCTGGCTTCTTTTGGAAGTGTCTTCCGGCTGTTTCCAGAAGTTGCTCCAGACTTTCCTTGGAAGTTTCTTTAAACTTTCCCCGAAAGTTTCTTTCGATTTCCTTCAAACGAACATTCTGACCTTCTGGCTTACTTGCCTCGATGATTTTTTTTTGACCTATCTCGGAAGGTTATTTCGTATTTCCGTGAAAGTTCCTTCCAACTTCAATTGATTTCCTCTTCCTATATACTCACCACCCATAAATTTCTTGGATATATTTCCCAATTGGGTGTGAATTAAATTGTTTTAGAAATTTCTAAACATGTCTTTTGTGAAATAATAGCTATTTTCCCGGAAACCGAATTCCCAGGAATCAGGTGACGTTACTTTTTGGTTAATTTCTCAGGAATAGTTTCTCGGAATGACCTTGGTTGGAAACACTAATTGGAAGCCAAACTGATGGTTCACTGCCGCTCTGGTTATTCCATTAATTATGGACATGTTTCGAATAATCCAATGGTAGGGGAAAAGTTGGCTTCGGCAATACCTTAACCTATTATCGTCCTTGAGAGCTCAATTTTGGCATGTGGATACATTGTGTTTCAGAGCAACTATTGGCCAAATTTTAGTGCTGTAGGACTTTGTTTAGCCCCTGACGATAATAGGTTAAGGTATTGCCGAAGCCAACTTTTCCCCTATATAATTCATTCTTGGTACCTTCACAACTGGATCTCGGATG